CTACTTACTGCTGGCTACTCACTGCTACCTACTCACTGCTGGCTACTCACTGCTACCTACTTACTGCTAGCTACTTAATGCTAGATACTCACTGCTGGCTACTCACTGCTACCTACTCACTGCTGGCTACTCACTGCTAGCTACTTAATGCTAGATACTCACTGCTAGCTACTCACTGCTAGCTTTCTTCTGTTAGCTACTCACTGCTAGCTACTCACTGCTAGATACTCACTGCTAACTACTCACTGGTAGCTACTCACTGCTAGCTTTCTTCTGTTACTACTTCCAATTTACTCCAATGTCAAGCTCATCAGTGAGACCACATTGTCCTTGCTTGAGACATTTAAACATTGGCACTCTGGGTAAGTTACTGCACGGGCTGCCTAGCTTTCCATGCGTACTGCACATGTCACTGAGAACTGTCTACCACAGTCGCAAACTACTCGGCGTAGTGTGAGTAGAGCTGGTGATAAATATTAGCATTTTAATGCAGGGACCCATCATTTTGACACATGCACCTAGGATATTTTGGATATTTAGGGATCCACTGCTGCAAAACCCCCTCAATTTACATACAGGACTAAGGGGTGTTGCTGAAAGTCCCGACAATTTGTACATAGGCAGCTAGGATCCACGATTTCTACACAGGAACTCCTGGTATTGCCGTGCGGTCAGACAATTTGCATACAGGAAGCCATGGCTTGGCTTCAGGGATCTGCGATTTTTATACAGTAACCAAAGATAGGCTTGTTGCTGGGACCCGCCATTTATAAGCAGAACCACATGGTCTATCTGCAGGGGCAGTCGATTTGCATACAGTAGCCAATGATATTGCTGGTACCCACAATTTATAAACAGAACTCCAGGATATATCTGCAGGGACAAACAATTTGCACACGGGAAGGAAAGATATTGCTGTAGGGACCCGCAATTTGCATACAGGAAGCCAGCGTATTTCTGCACGCCCCCACTATTTTAATAGAATACTCATATTATCGATCGATGGCCGACCCATAATATTGATTCAGGAAAGCACCGCTGGCATGGGATGGCAACATGTTCCACACGTAGCTATCACGTTATTGCATCAGCGTCTCGCGCCACTAAGAAAGTAAAACTAGAAAGATCACAAGCATTGCTACGAACGAACGAGATCGGCACGGTTAGGAATTTACATGAGTGAGACAGAGGTCTGGACTATCGTTACATCAGTACATGACGCAGATCTACTGCCCTATCCTATAAATGTTTGACGACCTTAGCTGTAATTTTAGCAATGAGCAATTGAGATTTTACAACATTTATCTGCTTGATAGGAAGAACGCCGATTTTTGTGCGCGTGTATGTTCACCATCATGTTCATTGATATCAAATAGGTGACAACGGACTTTCTCTAACATTATCGGCAAGAATACTGCAACTGGATCTGTCCGCAATCTCGAACAATCTAACGACCCGTCACATGCACTTATGCAGTAGCTATCGCCGATGTGCATGAACTCCTTCCATGGATTACCTACAAGATATTTAAACCACCAGCGATCTGTGCATGGGGTGCATGGGACACTACGTTTCAGAACTGTTGGCGTGGTGCTAACTTGTCCAAACAATATTATAGCAGTTAGCGGACGAGAAAGAACATTTAGCTTTTCATTGCCCGTGGCAGCACCCAAAGCCGTTCGCGTATACCTCGTAACACTGCTGGGACAAAATGTAGAAGAAAAGAACGGTATATCTACACAGCTTTTTTCCGCATAGTCTTTTCAAAAACATTTGGCTTTCACGTTATCTTCTGTCTTAAATTGTTCCAATTCATTCAGATCAGTGCAATTGTAACGGGATAGAATTACTCATTTCCTCCAGTTGACAATAAATACGTTGATTTCAATGCATAGAAAGCTTTATGCTTCTTTTCCTAAAGATCTCTGTTACCGCAGCTTTACAAACGTTTAGCTGTTAATGAATTTAGACAGTAATTCGCATTTAATTGCGTTCTCTTCACATTTATAATTGAATTGTGATAATTGCTTTATTTGCTATATATTCACACAAAATGTTTTTAATGGTCAATCTGCTCTTCCGCGCATTTAAAGTTTAATACCATCCTTCGGGAGTTGTAACTGTATAGCGTGTTATAGTCGCAGACGTATAGAATTCTATCCTCAGCCGTGACCGGATTCGAATTTACGCTGAATGACACGCGCTCTGTGAGACGCGTTTAGAGTGCGTTAATTGCGCCATTGCAAGAAATTTAAGTTGTGTCATTATTCGAGCGTGCTCAAGTGCAACGCTGCAGCGCCCAAGCTTTTAGTGTCGAAAAAATATTATCACCGATGTTTTTCCGCCGTGTGTTCGAAGTGCGCCATGAATTGCTGCGTGAAGCTGTGGTGGCGGCGGCGGCGGCGGCGGCGGTGGGCGGCGGCGGCGGCGGCGGTGGTGGTGGGGTGGGGACGGGTGTGATGGGTAGCGGTGGCCGTGGCCGTGGCGGTTGTGATGGTGATGGTGGTGACAGTTTTTAAAAAGAGCGTACTAACGAAACGCAATGTGATTTAAAAGATATGGTGGTGGTGGTGGTGGTGGTGGTGGTGGCGGCGGCGGCGGCGGCGGTGGTGGTGATCGACCGTTTTTAAAAAGAGCGTACTAACGAAACGTAATGTAATTTAAAAAATATGGCGGCGGCAGTGGGGATGGGTGTTAAGTGGTGGTGGCGGCGGCGGCGGTGGTGGCGACGGCGGCGGTGGCGGCGCCTGCAGTTGATGGCGGTGGTGATGCTTGTGGTGGTGGTGGTGCTGATGGTGGCAGCAGCAGTGGTGGCGGCGGTGACGACTGGGCTAGCAGTAGCAGTAGCGATAGTAGATGTAGATTGTTGTAATAGTAGTAAAATCTATATTACAATAAAATGTTATATCACGATGACGAAAATAATCACCGATCCGCCGCAATATTGGCAATGTACGTCCGCATATACATGATCATGAACGCGAGGTAGTGTCCAGTTTATAGCTAATGTTAAGCTGGTCGCTGGTTCGCATGATCGGTCAATATCCTGCCATCCTTACGCGTAGAGGGCACTCTTCTCAACATGCTTGAGTGGCTGTGAGTAGTGAGGTAGTCGAATAGTGAGTGGGCAGTCCATGCCGCTGCGTGCAGGCTGGCTTGCCTCAGTCTTCACGTTGTCCGCGTTGCTTCCGTCGTGGGGACGCAGTATACGCATACACTCACACGTACACAGCACAGACGGATGGAACAAACACAGACAGGTAGAGAAAAACGGGTACCCCCCGTTAGAGGAACTACGTATTCACAGAGATTCTGAACAAATGCCACACCTTTTTTTCATGAATTCTGTTTTCGTTCATATAAAATATACATGTTTAAAGCAAGGCAAATCATGTAAATAATACTTGTTTTCTTCGAAAGTATATCCTATTCTCAATGTTTCGATAAGATTAGATTGTAAAAAGAATCCTATTTTCTCATTTTCACGGACAGTACTAGGCTTGAATTTATTAAGGAATACTCTTTCACCTGTTGTTCATTTTTGCTGTTTGGGGGGGGGGGGTTGCTCCAACCGCGGTAACCGTAGCCATATTCTTTGGCATTCTTCGTGCAGTTTACTCATTTATTGAGCAGCCGTGTCAGCTTGGTGTACACACTGCCGGCATACGATGCGTACGTACTTGGTCGTTAAACACCTTGTTTGCTGACTTCTCATTCAAGCACGTCATCGCCTTACAACCCCTAGGCGTGATGAATTATGCATCGTTCTATTAAATCTAAATCTGCAGCTGTTAACGAACTTCAGTGTCTTTTTCACGTATCACCAGCCACTCACTGCATTTCTTTAAAGTACTAATATGTTCTGTGAAAAATCTTTAAAAAATTTCACTTGATGCTCATAGTAAATAGTATATTTTTAGCGACGTTTAAGCGCCCTGGGGCTCTGTTTACTTTTTCACCCACGTAACTAGATGCATAGTTAAAGTGAGCGGCACGGCCGGCTCATATGTCAAAGGTTTATCAAATTAAAGTTTGGGTTATTCAATTATATCCTACAGCTTCGGGAGAATATGTCGAGAAACGATTTACTGCCTAATGCGGTTATGCTGGCTCAAAGTAACCGAGTTAGCATGAAAATTATGTCTGATGCGTAGTAAGAAATCGTTATAACGGTTTAGAGTTTCTTTGATAAAAGTCGGTTTATATGCATTTAGTTCTTTCATCGGGTCTTCAAAGTTGATGCTTCTTCTGTTGTTCTCTGTTTGACATGTCATACAAAGTTGAATAGAATAGGCCAAATGCAGTATAACATTATTCACATCTATTCTACATACTATTCTGCAACTGCTACGTATATAAAATGCTGGGTGTGAGAAATAGTGTCATGATCCGTTATTATATAGCATATTAAAACCAATGTACATGTTTAATAGTTAAGCCATTTACTTGGTTAGTTAGTTGGTCTATTGGTCGGTCGCTCGATCGGGCGGTCGGTCGGTTCATCGGTCTGTTATATATTATAATGATGAAAACCCGTGACAAAGCTAGTCAGCTGTTAATGGCACGTATTTGTACATGTACAGGACATGTGTGAACGGCTCGGTCATCAAGGATCAGACGTTGCTGAAGCATGGTGACAGAGTGCTGTGGGGAAACCACCACTTCTTCCGCATCAATTGCCCGAAGCCAGCTATGAGTGAGTACATGTATATATGGAAGACATCCAACATCTTATCTCACCGCATCGCATGCATCACGTGTATTGTGTGTATTTATATAGTCAGTCTAACCAGCTATAGCACGCAGTCTGCAGTATAAAATTTCAAGTACAATTGCGGGGTCGTATTCATGGTATCATTAAATATCTCCGTCGGTGGTTATATATGCATACTGAAGTCTGCTTTTGTAGACATAGTCGTCGTTTATGTTGTTATGGGCACGCACCCACATTATAACCTTATATTATCATGGTAGCAGAGACTTCGTAGCATCACTGCAGG